CCTTTCCCTTTCGTGCACGGGCAAAAAAAAAAATACGACTTTTGGGACATTGCCGACCCTCTGTCCGACCCCCGAAAACTTCGGGTACTGGCCAGCATCTCGTATTTTCCCAACATTGGGGAAGGTACTGGTGGTTTAACGGTGATGGCATTGAGGCCCCTATAGTCAATGCACATCCTTAGGGTACCTCCCTTCTAGGAACGAATAGGACTGGAGCACCATAAGGGGAGGTATTAGGCCAAATCCATCCCTTCTTTGTGAGTTTTTTTAGCTGGAGGCGGAGCTCAGCCAACTCCGCAGGAGACATCCTAAAGATCCGTCCTCTAGGTACTTCACTACCCTGGACGACTTCTATCGCATGGACAACCTCCCTTTCCACCACACCACTGGGCTCCTCAAAAAGGTTTGAATATTGAGCAACGACTGCTTCTATCTCTGTGGGTTATTTTACGGCCTCCCCTTTCTCACGGGTAAAGACTAGGTACATGCCCTCCTCGCAATTATGCTTATAATAGTTATAGAAAGAGCATGCACACATGCAACAATAGTTCTCCACTAGATCGCTAGCTTTGAACTTCTGCAGTCTATCGGTTCTTCCATTAGGCAACTTGTGGATCATCACCTTCCTATCCCAATCGAATTGAAGTTGAGCAACCTCGAGGTAGTACATGCCTAGTAGCATATGGAATGGCAGTTCGTCGCTGACAAGGAACAAGATTTTGTGTCTCAATTCCCCTCCTCCGTAAGAGAAAGTACGTCCTTGACATGGTCTTGAACTACCATATTGTGCTTGTTGGCTAGCGTAGATGCTAAAGATCTGCTCAGCCGCTGCACGTGGTCCCCTAAGCGCAGTCTGTCCACACAAGCACGACTGATGAATTTTTGTGTAGAGCCTATGTCTGCGAAGGCACCCACTTTGCAGCCACCTACATCAACCTCTAGCACGGAATGTTCACCCTAGGGTCCTTCCCTGACCACTCAGTTTGGAGCTTTTCTAAGGACTCTGGCACATCTCTCGAAAACAGCATCGGTCAGTCTGAATGTGTTTGTGGGGCGATAAATGGGTCACTAGCCTTGGCCAACACCTGAACTGGTGAAGCCAGAGTTACCACTTCAGCACGAGTAAGAGCGGCTAACACCCCTACGGCTCGAGGTGTTTCCCTACCAAGTGCTTGCAGAAGCACCACCAAGGTTCGAAGATAAGCCTACCACACTTGGAGAGGCTACCTTCGTTGTGACCTTTTTGCCTCGGCATGTTCTAGACGTGTGGGAGTTCCTTGGTCGCCCTAGTTGCCATAGTTCAAACATGTACCCCTGGCAACTTGATCCCTCCATACCTCGTAATCTAAACAAGTTTTACCCATGCGGGAGTTCCTTGGTCGCCCAGACCCTTGGACCGGCCTACCTTCTGCTTCCCGGTCCCCCTAGCCTTTTCTTTGATTTGAGCTACGACTCCCCCATCCGAAGTCTTGCTAGCCCCATCCTGCCTTGCGTCTTCCCCATAGTCAGGGAAGTCGTCAATCTCAGTCGCCTCACCATCATGGTCAACGAACATGAGATTGCCCTTCTTCCTCCAATCGTGGGGATGTTTCTTCTTCCTGCCATTTGTTTGACCATGATGCGCGGTCTCAAGTTTAGCCTTTAAGGCTTTCTTGCTGAAACTAGCGAAGTTATGGACATCAATGTTGGCCTCATCTACCATCTTATTCTTGACATTTGTCGGCAGACATCTTAGATAAGCTGTGAGGAGTGCCTATGAGGAGTACCTATGGGTCATAGCGTACACCAAGCACTACGATCAGACGTTCTACGACGTCTGTGACTTTCCGCACGGTCCGGTACCGTTTGGAACCGAGACTGTTTATTGCGTTCATGGCCTTCTGAGCCCCTTGAGGGTCATGCCACCTGTTGTACACAGTCCGTACAAAGTCCTCTAATGTCCGGGCTTGAATAAGGACTTTGTAGAGGGCATAGAGGTCGCGCTAAGAAGTGGACTTTGCCAACTTCTAAGAAGCCATCTTCTTGCTCATATACTTCAATCAGCGTCAACTTTTTCCCCTCCCGCTGAGCCAAAACTGCGCCAATGTCATATTGGCTTGCATCTTTCGTCACAATGAATGGCTTCTCAGAATTAGGAAGCATAAGAATCTCATGGTGCATGAGAGCGTACTTCAATCTCTTGAAGAGACTCTCCCAATCATCGGTCCACTCCCAAAGGGTGTCAAGGCATCTTAGGTCAGTCAAGGGGGCAGCAACCGTACTATAAATCTTTACAAAATTGCCATAGTAGCCTATCATCCCCAAGAAGGACCAGACCTCCGTCAGAGATTGAGGTCGAGGCCAGTCCCTAATACTAGCCAGCTTCGCATATTCCAGCCTTAGACGGTCCGCGAATATCACATGACCTACGTATAAGATCTTGGTGCGACGCATATTCCAGCCTTAGACGATCCGCGGATGTCACATGACCTACGTATAAGATCTTGGTGCGACCGAACTTGCATTTCTCCAAGTTGATCTTATACTTATGCTATCGTAGGAGACATAGCACAACTTAAGATAAGAATGCCGTCGAGGTACATGACGATAAACTTATCAAAGTCGTCATGGAATACCCTATTCATGGCGTGTTGGAATGTACCCGGCACGACCATCAATCTCTTGAAGGCTCTCTCCCAATCATCAGTCCCCTCCCAAGGGGTGGTCAAGAATGTTAAGTCCGTCAAGGTGGCAGCAACCGTGCTCTTTCTTTACAAAATTGTTGTAGTAACCTGTCATCCCCCTTGGTCACACATGTGGTGCCTTGTCGCCAACTGGCGTGTGGTAACTGTCTGGTGCCGACCAGGGATGGCAAAGTTTGCAATATTCAGGCATTTTCTAGGTACAGGGCCTGCCTTCACTTAGGGCGGGCACAATGCTTGCAGCAGGGACCCCATACCGGCATGTCGAGGACTCGTATCCTCACAGTAGGGGCAGTTGTGGAGGATGTAGGGGTTTGAGGCAGGGCTGACATAGGAAGTCCTTTAGCGGCAGCTGACCAGTTCGCTGCTCTCAACAAGTTGGCAGGGTGAGACTGACCTGTCCGGGTACCAACAACCGCTGCAGTTCCATCCTGGGGAGGCCAGAAGCCCATATTCAACCTGCAGAATCCAAGCTCAATCCAACCCCTGCACTCCACTAAGGGCACCATCGTATTCCAAGTTCTGCCCCGTGACACAGATGGAGAGTGACTGATAGATCCACCAGATGGAAACAGAAGCACAACAATGCTAAAACAGACCTTGCATTTAGAAAAAGAAATGGAGAAGCAAAACGCTATCAGCAGATCACAAACCTGGTTGTTCTCTTCCTTCAGTTCCTCCAGAAGCTTCCGACGAAGATGTGTCTTCTCCCCATCACTAATCCCCCTGGACACATAACACCAGCGCCACATACATGAGTACACATAGAACCAGCAATAACAGAGGCTCAGGAGTTTTGTGGAAGCTTGTGGAGGCTTGTGCTCATATCCGGCAAGCCAAAGCTTGTGGAGGCTTGTGCTCATATCCGGCAAGCATGGTTGTGAAGTCACATTGCAAATTCATCCTCGCCATTTTCAACTTGTCACACATCTGAGTAACAATCAAAACAGGTGTTACATGACTCCATCAGGTAGACCAACTTCAGTTCAGAATAGAATACAAAAATCCAGCACCCCTCAGGTCCTTCCCACTCCCATCTCCAAGCTTCCTCTCTCCTAAAAATGCACAACGGCCTTAAAAGAACCCATCCATTTTATGTTTCCATCAGAGTCGTACTGCCGAAGGCTATGACGTATGGAATGAACTAAGAAATCAAGAGAAAGAAAAGATTCAAAGATTCAAAGGAAAGACCTCGTGCTTATGCAAGATATAAAAGATAATCATGAATTCTATTTGGGGCAAAGCGAGAAGACAAAAAATGCAGCAGAGAGTGCTACTGAGCTGGGGCAGAGAGGGAGCCACACATGGAATAGGGGGTGAAGGTACGGGCACTAATGCCTTGCTTACTACTGGGGTGGTAGGTATCCTGGGGGAATATGGAGGGAAGGAAGTACGAGGGGTGCCGTAGCGCGCCTCATACTTCTTCTGATAGTACTCCATCCTTATTGGGGATGGAGTTGTTTCGATCCATCCAGGTACAAGTGACATGGAGAGGCCCCTGAGTGGGTCCCGTATCCGTACTTCTCTTCTTCCTCCTCCTCTGAGCTGAAGTGCCTTCTGGCACAAGAAGCAGGCTCCTCAGGAGCTTTCCCTCCTCCTCCACCTCTCCCTCTTCCCTGTCCCCGACGCCTCAGGCATGGTGCAAGATGAAACTATAGTTGAAAAAAAAGTAGGAAAGAAAGGTACGCAACAATAAAAATAGAGATTAAAGATGAAACTATAGTTGAAAAGAAAGTAGGAAAGAAAGCTACGCAACAATAAAAATAGAGATTAAGAGAACACCGTGAGAATAAAGAGGACCACACTACTAAGAGAGAAAGAAGGGAGTAGCTGCGCAGATCACGCAGAGCTGCTGCGCAATGGAAGAGACAGGAGTGCACTGCAAAAGAGAAGGCGCTAACGCAAGCCTCTACGAGAAGGCTTCGCTACAGACTACTATGAAGACAGGTGAGTGCACCACCGACTCTAGTTGTTTAATACTAACTGTCCGCTTCGTTCCGGCCCAGCGGGGACGCTGGGGAATTGGTATCATGTCGGAGGGCGCGGTGTCCCGGCCCTCCGCTGTGTACTAGTTGCTTGCTCAGGGGAGGTTGGCTGATGTACCAAGCCTCCCTGCCTGTGGACCACTGCGGGTCGCATTCTGCTAGGGGGTGGGTCTAGTCAGCGCTTCCCTTGGCAAAAGAGTGGGTGCGCCGCTGGACTTTTGGCTGGCCACGCCAGTTTGGTACCTTGCAGTGCAGCAGAGTACCATCGGTTTGTGGCTGTGGCAGCGGCCGGGTTCACTCAGAGGCGGGGCGGCAAAGGCCGGAAAGGTCTCTTCAGCTGCCGGGCCCCTGTAGCTGGGTTAAGGGGTAGGTGTGGTGGCGATGGTCGCTTTCAGTAAAAAAAAAATACAGAAAAGGGAAAAAGAAAAGAGTGAAAGGGGAGGGGGTTGAATGCGGAGCCTCAGATCTGTGCCTAGACCTGGATCGCTGCTTTTGCGTATCGGGGTCTATGGTTTAGTGATGTCGCGGCGCAAGAGAGTTCTGAAGCGACTCCCCTTCTCTATTATTATTATTATTATTAACTATTTCTCTTATTTAATTTTTTTCCTTTCTGTCATTTTGCGGGGGACTAACGGTTCGTTTATGAAACATGATAGCGAACTGGCGGCCCAGACTGACTAACCTTCCGTGCTCTACTGTGCCGCAGAAGTGACCTGCCGAGCACTGCAATAGTGGAGCCCCAAAAGGGAGCACCCGCGGCCGCTTTGGTAGGCGACCTATCACCTTCCATGGAAGGTCATAAGCCCCCTCCTTGCCATCAGACGCAGGTACCCATCAAGAACGGTCCGGTGCCCTCTAAACGAGAGAAGAAAAAAACAGTCGGTATCCCGTTATGGGACCGTCGCACGCCGAGTCAGTGGTCTTTTCGAGCCAACTTAAAGTGACTACAAACAGTATCTGAAGTGGGTGCCTGCTAAAATTGACCGTTGAGTCTCAGCTTTCCTTCTCCCTTTTATTCCTTCTACCGTTCAATTTCATTTTATTCCCTTTCTTTGCCGGAATGAAAATGCTCCAAGTCTTCACCTGAAGCACTGATAGTCTGTGTATGGTGACCCTGTAAGAGGAAGGGTGGCCGCGCTATCGGCTATTGGTCAGTAGCTGCATGCAAGCCATCTTGCTACACCAACGTCGCTGGTTTAAGACAGGGGGGGGGGGGCGGAGCAGTGAGGGCAAGAGTGGCTTGTCTGCGTGCTTGTGCACCAAGTACCAAGTTCAAATTATTTTGAAAGTGCGCGATTATGGCCCTGCATGGCTATAGGCCGGATTGTCGGAACCTCCTAACGCGCCAGAGGCCAATTTCCGGGGAAGGACCCTGGGTAACCACTACTATGAATTACGATGGGGGAAGCGAGGCAAAGCTGAAGATCAACGTACAGGGAGCGAGGGAGGAGGAGATGAGAGGTGACCCGAGGTTGCAGGCAAAGGTCATGGAGGCCAAGGACTGTGCGAAACGGAGGTGCAGACGGGACGGCGTCACAGTAGAGATCCAGGTGACAGTCGCCTACCATGAGGCAGAAACCTCCATGGACACGGTGGAACGCGAGCAAGCTCATCTGGACCGAGACTCAGGAGGTGAGAGCGAAATGAGCGCGGCAGGGACACTCTCCTGGCGCGGGTTGAACCAGTGGCAGAGGGACCACCCACCCGCCGAGCCTGTGGAGAGCGGCCCGGAGGCCAACTCACAGCGACGGAAGGACCAGGAGCGCTAGGCTGCGGGAGCGAGGGTCAGCACGCGAGGAAAAGGGGGCGGGAGAGAGCGGTAAGAGAGAGAGAGAGAGGGGACATATGCGACACACAACTCGTGACAGGGGGATTTTTGGGTGACGTCAACCGGACTGCTGCACCATTCAGTCGGGGAGAGAGATGCGACCATGAGAAGGAGGACACAATGCAGTAGAGTGCTCGTCGCCTGAGAGAGAAAGGGAGAGGAGATGGAGTCCCTCTATTCGTTCATTGACGTCGTCTGATTGGCATCACCTGTAGTAAGAGTGAAGTGTCTGTTGACTCCCCCCTGGCGTGATAGTCCGACAAAACTGGAGTGGGTGCTGACACGGGGAAATTGGCACCTGGTTGAGCAGGAGACTGCGTCAACGGGGGAAAGGCGCGAAGATATAGGGCAAGAGATCTCTATGAGATGTGGTTGCGGATGGCTGAAAGCGGAGGGTGCGAGAGGTGACACTTGGGCTTCCCGGGTTTCTCACGAGGTTCTTGACGCGCCCGGACTGTACTCGCGCACTGGGTGGTGACATCAGCAGCTCGGCGACATGATTATCGTCTTCTGCGTTTGCACATTCTGCAGTTGCCGTAGTGTATTGAGTCGACAGGGCGGATCGGGAACAGTGGGATCTTTCACCGGCACAGTCAGTGGGGACAACGGTCGGAGGCTACTCTCGAAAGAGTGCGAGGAGCAAAGGTCGCTGGTTAGATGCGGTCAGGCTCTTCGCCTTGATCAGAGAGAAAAGGGAAACTCTGCTTGCTCGAGAGCGTTGGGGAGAGAGCCGTTGGTCTCAAAGTGTACACACACGAGCAAGTGCACAGCTGCCGAACGCTGGCAGTCAGTTGTGTCCTTTGTCTGTGACCCTTTGCTTCCGTTTCAATTAGCTGTCACTTTCTAACTCGTCGGCGCTCTAGCTCTTCATGCCTCGTGGCTTCCTTTCGAGCCATTCAGGGATTTTTGTCTCAACTTGAGTGGACAAACAATGTGCTATGCTACTGCATGGACATGTAATAATTAGGCTGCCCTGGGAAAACCTATGATGGTGCTGTTGGGGTCATCGGCTTCTCCGTAAGGTCTTTTAAACCGTAGAGTGATGAGGATTTTGCCGTATCGAGACGTGGGTTTAAGATATCCCTGGGAACGAGGATTCTAGACTCTCGACATTGACAGAGAACCAGACTGATAACGGCTTTTAGGAGGATATCCTCTCCATCAGAACAGTTGTGGATTGACATCTTTTGCAAGTATATAGCTGTGAGAGCGAGACCTCATGTTATAGTCCAAACAGTGAGTTTGCGGTCTCTCTTTGGGGATACCGTTTTGAGCAGTTGCGTATGACCCACGTTTTAAGCCGAGTGTTTTGAAGGACCCTGACAGAGTGATGTGTGATAAAGCCAGTCAAGATAAGACATCATCTATTCAGCCATCGCTCTTTTCATTCCTTTTCTTTTCTTTTTCTTTTTTTTTCCTTTTCCCTTACTCGAGCCGTTTGATTCCCTTATGCCTGCTCTCGAATGAGAACTCTTCAGTTAACCGGCGTGACGAATGAAGTCTCTCGAATCAAAAAGGCTTACCAAAGACAAAAGATCGAAAGATCCGCGAAGCCTGTAACGCCTTGAGTCTCATCTCTACTTGGGGTGGCAGAACGCTACTAACTTTCTACTAAGCTCAGAAAAGCCAGTCCTGCAGCTTGTCCAGAACCTTCAGAAATCGCTGCCCAAGCCTTGGCTTTCGACAGAAGGGGTAAAACGGTCGGCACTTGCCGTTGAACAAAACTCTGGCAGGCTTTTGAGCTTTGATCTTAGTCTCCCTGGGAGTTTATCTCACCCTTGTCTTGGTGCTTTAAGTAATGAGACCCAGAGGAAAGAAATGGCTATCTGATCGCTAAAGTTCTCCTTGATGGGGACTAGTGATAGTGAGTTGTCCTAAATTCCAACACTTTTTTGGAAGCTAGTTGACTCCAG